AAAAAAAAAAAAGAAGAGGGAAACAATGATTTATATGTCAACAGAAAAGCCTCGCACAATCAAATGACCACAGCTTCATAGACAGTCATCACTAGTCCCTACCTTACCTTTCTCAAGTTTCAGCAGGAGTAGTTACCCCTATTGGCAAATGAAACTATTAACATACAAATGACATAGATGAGGTATATATTTTGTAACAGCTCATCAGTTTCGCATGTTTAACTTGATAATAAGCAAAAACGCAAGAGGCTATCCAGATAAAAAAATATTCAACAACTCAATCACTAAACAAAAGGTTTAATCCAGTTAGCAGACAGACATGCAATCAAAGACACATGAATATAAAACCTCCGGGGAACTAGTGTAATACACATAATCATAGGCAGTTGAGAGAGATAAAAAAACACAAACAGAAGTAATCACGCATTACCTTTCGGAGGAGTTTTCAAGAGTGCTTTCTTGTTTTGAACTTAGCTTAGTACAAGATAAAGGTTGAACATCAGGAATTTCATTAGCCAAAGGTGTATTGTGAATGAACGAAGATAACAAGGGATCGGGATCTGTAGTGGAGGAAGAAATCAAACGAGAGGACCCCCCAAGGATGGATTGCAGATTTCCTTCCCTTAGCTCTCTTCTTAAAATAGAGAGAGCCGAAGTACCACCCCTTCGAAATCTTCTCCTGCGCTGTACCTGTAATGCAGCCAACGATAAATACTATGCAAATGGTTCCAGCGGTAGAACTAAGACAAAACTGACACACTCAAATACGGTTTAAATCAAAGAATTCTGATATGCTGCACATTTGATACTGAAGCAAACCGAAGAGAGGTTTCAAGTCCGAAACTCATGAAAATCAATAATGAAAGATAACCAAAAAGATACCTTTAAAATATTTCCATGTTGCTGAGTAATATGACCAACCAAATCCATTCCAACCCTTTTTGCACAAACCGGACATATCTGCATATAAAGACATGTTATCTAACATCACAAGAAAGCCTGACAAAGTGCTAGAGATCACTTTGTGCTCTTTAACAGAACCCTGACCACTAGCCAGAGATGAAACTGACAAGCTAGTAGCAATTAGCAAATAGTGTTTAGCTATCTAGATTTTATTCAGAAATAGCAGAATAAAGTTATATAATCATGGGGAGATCTACATATTATAATCATCAAAATTTTTTTTTTTGTCCGAACCACTTTAGTCTCTACCTGACTCTAGCCCGTGTAATAAAATCTCATTTCTAGTTCTAAGCTTATTATCTTATTCTCAGGTTAATGAAGCCTTAATTAAATTTTGTCAACACAGAAGGTAATAATCATGCAACTAAACATTATTTTGTTTCTTAAAAAAATATTGTTCTGAAAGTATTTTGTGTGATTGAAATTTTCAGAAACAATCCCTTCCATACAGGAGCTATTGTTTGAATTGAGCAACTTTTTAAAAGAAGTCGTTAAACCACACTTGCCTTTTGGTTATTTACCCAAAAAAAGAACTGTAAAAAAGATATAGTTACTTTGCTATTTGGCAGGTTGGAGCACTGTTGAAGAATTGGTTATACATTTAGAAGCTCTTTAAAAGCCACTCAAAAATTAGGTAGCTTCTTCTCAAATTTTAACAGACGCTATTCAGTTTTTTTTTTCTTTTTTTTTTTTTATGAAAGCCGCTTATCATAGATGACTATCCAAATAAGTAACTTCGTCGAGCCCTGAACCACAGACACACAAACACACTATGCGTTCTTTGCGGAGTGAGCCCTAGAACACCTTAAGTCGCTGCTCACTTAAGTAACTAAAGTATTTTTTTTTTTTCATTTTCTGGTTATTGTACGCAGGGTAAGGCTGCGGACAATAGACGCTTGTGGTCCGGCCCTTCCCCGGACCCCGCGCATAGTGGGGGCTTAGTACACTGGGCTGCCCTTTTTTTTTCTGGTTAGTTGAAGTACACAGTTTTTTCAATTCTATAGCCAGCAGATGAGACAGCACTTTTTAATTAGCTGACTCTTATAGTTTTGGAAAATTTATTAACATGATCTGGAAACCAAATTCAGAAAAATAGATTTTAAGTTAAAACTCCATCAAATAACTTAGAGATGACAAGCCATTTCAGTACCTGGAGAACTGAGGAACCGACAAAGAGTGGAGAACCGAGGAACCGACAAAGAGTAGTAAAGCTACCACAAATTATTCATAAAAAGAAAACAAAGATAAAAAAATATTTTTAAAAAAAGAAGCAGCTAAAGCTGACTAAAGGAGTAAAAGGGGACATTCAAACAGGGCATTATTCCAAATTTACCTTTTTTCCTTTAATCTCGACATGAGGGCAAATGGGGTAAACTACATAGATGCCCACAAATGAGTAAATTTTCTCCTATAGGCTACAGCCTCCTCGTTCCTCCTCTTAACATAACTGCCACCTCTAGAGAGAGAGAGAGAGAGAGAGAGAGAGAGAGAGAGAGAGAGAGAGAGAGAGAGAGAAAGATGAAATTCTGCGGGGCAGGCTAGTAAGAGGGAAGGGGATTCAATTGAATCCCCTTGGCTGAAACATTATACTGTGCAAATAGGATAACAATAAAAACTTTTTGGTAAAATATATAAACTATTGAATCCCTTGACATAAGGGGAAACTCTATTATTTGCGGTGAAGGGGTTCAAAAATTGCTTTAGGTCACGAGTTCAAATCCCAACTATGACAGTCCAGTACTTTTTTTTGAATCCCATTATATAAATTCCTAGTTCCACCACTGGCTTCTGTTTCACTTTTGTCAAGGAAAGAAACAAGATAGAATTAAATAAGCCTAGTGAAAAGATATGGCTTCACTTGCCTTCCCTTTTATGAAATAAGCCTCCAAGGTCTTTTTTCTGGTTTAAATGTTTCAGTTCCCTTGGTTGGAAAAAAAGGTGTTACCTTGTTAATAATTAATCTTCATCAAGCTGAGACGAATGTAAGATGTAAAGCAAGAGTCATTAGCTAACCCATCAATATCCCTTAACTTAGGCCCTAATCCCCAAAATCTAGCACTTTCATTTCAATGTTTACTGGCACTCAAACTATTGCAACAAGTCAGAAATGCAAAAGGTTAAACTTTCCAGTCATTCAATATTACCCCAAACTGGAAGCTCTTCAGAAAGGAGTCGTAGAAAGCCCATTTGTTATACCTTTTTTCTCAATAAAAAAAGGTAGTATGTCTAACCCTCGAGCAGAAGAAGAGGGAGGTGGGGGAAGAAATAAGCCAAGACCCTTGAAACATCACAATACTAGAATGAATAAAAATTAGCTGCTCATATTTGAAATAAAGATCACTGCATGAAGAACTCCTTTTTTTTTCCGGTTTGGGGCGTTCTCCAGTGACTAGAAGCTTGATCAATTTAAGGGTTACCTTCACAAGTCTGTGAAGATAGATTCTCGTCACTCAGTTTTCATGGTTGAGCCATCCAGATGTTATAGCATTCTATCTTTAAAGAGGAGCGAGGGGAGCAGGTGATCAGCCAAAACCACTGTGCAATGTAGCACCAGTGTTAATTGCACATAATGCTTCTGATATTTTATCTATATTGCTTAATTTAATGTGGTTCATGAATTAAAAACTCCTGTATCTCCATATTTTGCAGGAGAGGGAAAAAAAGAAACTATGTTTTTTCTGACACATAGATAAGGAAAACAGAAAACAAATCAATTCATTACTTTGAAATTTGAAGTTCAAAGCTTCAAACAACCAGTGTGATTCACTGATTTGAATTCTGAAGTCCAAGCCTCCATAGACATATACACAGTTAATGGTAAAGAATTATTTCAAGAAATGAAAGCCTCCATTTTAGATCGCCAATACTTATCTTCACAAACCTATTGGGTTCACCAAGGAAGAATAGAAAGAAATAAAAAGAAAAGAAATCATTTCCTTTTTTTGATAAGACGAAAGAAACCAACTCCTGTCCTGAATAAGGTCAATGTAAAGAAGTCTAACGGCAAATTAGAAGGTTCTGTGACAGTCACCCTGGTTTTAAAAACTTACGCAAAACCTACATTTGCTAAGTCAATGAAAACAAATGGGTAAAGAAGTGCTAGTAGTAGAGATACCGTACCCCATTCTTAGCCTCAATAGAATGCTCTTCATCGATATGACAACAGAGGCCAACAATATCAAAATCCTCAGCACAGAAAGGACACAGAAACTCTGGCCTCGACTCCTCTTCACCATCATACTCCTCTCCTATGTTATAGATATCTGCAAAACACACCAAAAAAGTTTAAACAACAACAACAACAACCCAGTATAGTCTCAATAGTGGAGTTTGGGGAGGGTAGTGTGTAAGCAGACCTTACCCCTACCCTGGGTTAGAGAGGTTGTTTCCGATAGACCCTCGGCTCCCTCCTTCCAAGAATTCCCCACCTTGCTCTTGGGGTGACTCGAACTCACAACCTCTTGGTTGGAAGTGGAGAGTGCTTACCACTAGAGCAACCCACTAGAGCAAAAAAGTTATAAACAAAAAGGTGGAAAAACATATATTTGTATTCTTCACACCTACTTCATTTTTTGCGCAACAATAAATTCTACTTACATTCTAAACAACATCACTAATGAGGAAAAAAATCAAAAATGCAATCGTAAATTCTTCCATGCTTTTCAGGTAGAGAAACCTATTCACTAAACCTCAGGTCATTAAACGAAAAAGCTGGAAAAACAAAAGGTTGTAATCTTTACACCAGGTTGACTTCCGAGCAACGAAAACCTATAAACAACAATTTCTAATTACATTATTTCTACAGAAAATAAGCAAAACCCGCATAAGAAAATGTAAATTTCTTCATTTTCTGGTACTCAACAAAAACCCAGCTCGACAAAAAAAATTGTAAGTTTCATATCTGGCTCATTTCTAGGCAAGGAAACCAATAGAGATAAAAAGCAAATGCAAATGTAAATTTCATCATTTTTCGTGCAAAGAAACACATTCCACTTAACCCCATCTCAGAAAATAAGCCAAAATCATTTGG